TTCTTCTATCACTCTGCAGTCTTTCTGTCCAGACACAGAAATAAATATAAAACAAATTCAAAGTTTTTAATGAGTGAGCCTTAAATTTTTATTCCCACTACCATTAATGTTAACGTTATATTTACTTTGTTGACATTCGCGAAACAGGTGGCACTATGTTACATGTAACGTTACCTAAGCCTAATTCAGTATAAGCTGTCAATATCTTTGAGAGACCTGCCGCACTCTGCTTAAGAGTATTATTTATGGCCCTTTTTAAAAATTAATGGTTGTCTCTATGGCGACGCCAATCACCTGAAGTGGTATGTATCATAATGTACTAAATCATATGCTGACGTGGCAACAGCACCAATGCCTTTTTAGTGTTAAATATTATCAAGGTATAAAGTACTTCTAATAAATGTGAATTTATTAAAGCGAGCAAAAATTTGTGTTAAAAGCCAAGCAAATATCTCTACTCAATTTCAAAACTGGGCGTTTGGTTTACCGTTTAGATACCGTTACAGTAAGTTGACAAGAATATGATCACTTCCCCAAGCTTCCTCCAAAAAGTTGACGTTACTTTTCTAAAACAATACTTTATCTATGCCGACCTTAATCAAAGAGAAATAATTCTTCTGTATTCATAACCTCTAACACTATAGTTTGATGAACTTACCCAAGACAGTTAAGGGCTCGTAGAGGCAAACAAGCAACAAAACTACGGCAAGAAACGCACAAATTCCTCTCGACATGGCTGCCATTTTGATGGTGAACTCTACCATTATGGTAATAGGGGTGTTTTCGTTGACGTAAATTGTTGAATATCAGTAATATATAGAAGTATTAAAAGCATAAACATATAAATAATGTATATTCATAATTTCTGTAACAGTAAGAAAGTTTAGGTGTCATATTACACATTTTTAACTACGGGAGTTTATGCTCACACCCCTTTATGATAATGGTATTGACCGTTCAACTCTGACCGGAAACTTCTGGTGTTTTCTGGAAGCAGACGATACAAACATTACGTTACGTCATGGCGCGTATACCTATGGATTTATCGGGTCCGTGAATACTCGAGAGCTGTCTGACTAGACTCTACGTGATGGAGGAAGACACTGAGGCGGACAGAGCCGCCGTCATACCGTCAACAGAGAAAAAGGTTAGATGTCTAAAACATGTTGACGTTACGTACTAGTTACCCCCCTCCCACTTGGTTTGGTTTTTGTGATCAGTTTTCAATTCACGAGCAAGACTCAAGTGTGGTTTCAGAGTGGTGCGGCTTCTGAAATCCAAATCAGAGGTTAAAATCACTCTCGCATTATTTGGTCCAGCAATTTTATCATGAATGTAGATTTGTAAATTTGATCTGTCGAAAACAGCTCGATGTTGACAACTATGCTACTTTTGGACAGGCCTTGACAAAAAAATGTATCACTATGCTAGTAGATGTTTTCCAAGAGCTTGCACTATATACTACCAGTGATCCCTAGATCTATTGTGGAGGCTGCTTGCATTGTCAAGGAAGCACCCCCCCCCCCATAAAAAAATGAGGACCTACTACAGACTTTTCAAAGTTGCTTTGCTGGCTACACTTGCCTTATTGGCTAGAGCAGTGCATTAGATAATCGTAATCCAGTACACTACATAATTGTAAAAGCTGGAAAACATGCTTACATGTATGAAATGCATGAACCAACATCTAGATTACTGGAGTCGTCCACGGCTAATGCAAATGTAACGTTAATGAACAATTCATTTTCTCCAACCTGGGTCCTGTCACAGACATGTGAGCCTCCACCATCGCCCAGCCAGGACCAGGACGTGAAGTCGACGGCGGTGATGAAGTACGCGTCGGTGGAGAGTCCGGTCAGGTTCTCCGTGCTGCAGAAGCTGACGGACCTGAAGCTGCCGCCCGCCAACTGGCTGAGGAGTCAGGAGGGGGTGACGGGCATCAAGACTAACATGTCCTGGGGAACAGGCAGTGGGGAGCCCTTCTCCAGGTCAGCCTTGCCAACATTTACGTTTATAGTAGGTATCTAAAGCTAACAGGTGAAACTGATGCTAATGTGGCAAAAATGCTTTGCAGGAAAAGTTTTGTCAGGTAAAGATGCACAAGCAGTTTCAAAGCACTGTTCTCACACGGTCACACCTATTATTATTAAAGTTCCCAACCCCAGCTCTTTGTCTTGATGTCATCCTACATGTAATGTATAACGACTGTTTTCCTGTTCAGTTTGAGCATGGCCAACACTTTTCTGGAGACAGTTGATGAAGTTGACGTCATCACAGATGCTGAGGTAAGGACAAGCTTGTCCCAAATAGTCTTTTATGTAATTATATCAAGGCATTAATCATAGTATACACAAGGGAATTGCTACTAAAATTTGTAACAAACTGTAATTGCAAAGTAGTAATTCCCTTGTTTATCTCATTACCTAGATGTCTAACCTTCACCGACGTATATCTAGTATAATGTGTGACCTGTGTATGAACTTCAACTGTAACAACTATCTTGGGTTATGAGTCTCTGAAATCAGGACTAAATTGTAAACAACTTATGTTCAGGAACGTGTTTGTCATTTCATATCATAACCATTGTATAAAAGGTTACAGTTTCTTTATCGTAACCTCTGTTGTGTAAGATCACTTAGTATTGGCATGATGTTGGAGAGTGTTTTATGTTCTTTGTTCCATTTCAGAACATCAAGAAGCTGTTGAAGATCCCGTTCAGTAAAGGCAGTGTTTCCTTGGCGGTACACAGGGTGGGGCGGACCCTGCTGCTGGATGAGTTTGACATCTACAGTAGTCTCCTCAGGGCTGAGGTCAGATTTTCTTACACTGACAGATTCTACTAGGGCACTTACAATAGGCCAGTTATTGCCAAGTTGCACACGGGTTGTTCAAAGTTTATAATTGCCAAAAAGTATCTGAGTGTGGATTGTGTTGAAATGTACATGTGGCTTTCCCTCCCACTGTTACATTTATTACCAGTAATATCATTTTTTGGGAAGATGTTTTGTTTATAATTTTTGTCTGATATCGTACCTTTTGATCCTCACAGAGAGAAAACTGGAGATGGTTGCGAGATTTCTACTTAGAGCATGTCCTGGAGAATGTGAAGGAAAAGGTATGTTATTGCTTGTTTCAAATTCATAGTCACAAGCGCTGGCACTTGTGTCATTTGTTTACGTTTTAATTATGTAAAGTATACAATAGTTCAAACATAAAAGGTTTTGTACTGTCTGCCTAAGCATTGGAACAAGTGCTGCATACAAAGCTTTTAATTCATGTATTATGCTCATCACTGCTCATATCTGTCTTTTGAAGGAGAAAATCTTCTCTAGAAAGAAAAAGACCAGAGATTATCTTCAAAACAGAAGTATGTTCTCCAAGTTCCTGTACAGAAGGTATGTCTTTACATATTCATGTTTTGTCTTATTTGTGAATCTGAAAAGATATGGTGCTGGCACATGCCTCCTTCTGCTGTCTTCATGACAAGACACTCAGTGTTGATGGGCAATTTATTTGTTAAGGTTAAGAGGCCTTGTTGAAGTGTTTTAGGTGAAAAAGGATGTGATGTTATTCTCCCCATGTATCCAGTATTGAGGATGGGAAGGATGCTGAATCCCCGCCCAGTTACTCGGAGGTGTGTGGGGAGGAGTCTGAGGAGGAAGGGGCTGTAGGGAACTGTCCTGATGCAGCTAACGGCAGACTGGCCCCAGGACAGAGTGTTAACAATGGAGACCTCCTTCCTGAGGTGAGAACTCTGCTGTATTTGTTAGTGCCTGGTCACATTTGTCATACCAAGGTGATAAGATCACAAAATGAGGGAATTCTTGTAATAGTCATGCATATGTCGTATTAAATCTAGCCTCTTGAAATTCTATGACATCAAAATTGTACAATGGCCTAGTACATGTACAAATGTGACCATGCTGTAACATACACTGTAAGCTGCATGAATATACTGTGACTGCAAAGTGTGTTTTACCACAGGTCTGTGTAATGATAATGTCTGCAGTTGTTAACAAGTAGACTTTCTCCTTTCCCTATTGGTCAGCCTGAAGACCCGAGCCTCCGGAGTGAGTTCCAGAGAAATGTCATCTGGACATTTGAAGACATCCGCATGCTGATTGGCACAGACATGCCCATATTTGGAGGCGGGACACACCCTGCAGTGAGCCTCAGACTAAGGTAGGAGTCAGGGCTGGCCTTGTGAGATGGTGTAACATCACAGCTGGTATTCATAAGGTCAATTATCAATCAATCAATGATCAACTAGGCCAACATAAAGGTGGCGAATTGGTCTTGTGATTGATGACTTCAAATTTAAAGGTCCTGGGTTCGAATCCCTCACTGGCTCCAATGTTGTGGCCTTTGGAAAGTCACTTTACATACATTTCCTTGCTCGATTTAGGTAAAAATGAGTATTACCGGTATGTACATAAAGGGACATAAAGTCAGAGGTCTCATGTTTAGGAGGATCGCACCTTGAGAATGTTAAAAGATCCCACGTTTATTGAAACGAGTAGGGGTCCATCCCTGTGAGAGTGGATAAAACCTTTCAGTCTGGTCTTACACAGCATGTACTTACTGTACAAAACTGGTGTGCTTAGATGTGGTGTGTGAAACAAACAAACCATTCTTATTTTCTTTTCCTCCAAGGATAAGCCATAAGTGTTTTCATCAGTAAGCTATTGTGACATGTTTCCTTGCTGTTTCACAGGGACATGAAGAAGCCAATCAATGTGCTGACTGGGCTGGACTACTGGCTGGACAACCTGATGTGTAACGTGCCTGAACTGGTCATGTGTTACCACTTGGAGGGGGTGGTCCAGGTCTGTACAAACTCTGCATAGTTTTTAATTTCTGATTTTTGTTACCCTGATTTAAAAAACCTGGAACTTATATGTCTCAGTCCATGGTGCTGAAACTATAGATGATATGAAAATGATCCAGACTTGCAGCAAAAGTGAATATTACACTGGGGGTAAATTCAATATAAGGCATGATAGCAGGAAATGAGATAATCTTTTCTGCTAGGATCTTTGACCTATGTTCCTGTCAGCTCCCTGACATGCGTAGCATGTAGAAATAGCTATGTGAACACAAGCAAACACACAAACAGATACTCCGAAAATAACACCTCCATGTACAAACAGATACCAACCTTCGTGGTTGTATGACAGATATTATAACAACTGTAATGAAACTCCCCCATGTTTTGTGTCCAGCAATACGAGCTGATTAAGACAGAGGAGATCCCCAACCTGGATGCTTCGCGGTTCTCCCCCCAGGTCATTAAGGACATTGCTCAGAACATCCTGTCTTTCCTGAAGTCAAACTGCACTAAGGAAGGACACACCTACTGGCTGCTTAAAGGTGATACTGATGACCAGGTTCTACAAATGTTCCAGCCTTTTAAAATTCAACTACTAATGGCTGGTGCACTGCATAGATTTCAGTAGTAGCCAACTGTAGTGGTGTTGTGCTACATCAGATCATGCCATAGACATACTTTTACAATTGTCTGTACAAATTGTAGTTAAGCTAACTTACATGGCTTAAGAAGATAAGTACAGGTGTAACCTCCCTGAATCTACCCGGATATATTCTTGCCAGGGGTAGGTTGTGGCCTGCTTCATATTTATATTGTATACAGTAAGTCATTTAAAGAAAAAAGTGCTCCTCATGACTAAATTGCAGCTTAGGTATACAGCAATGCATCTGTTTGTTTTGCAGAACTGGTAAACTGCCTTTAGGACCAGACCAGACTGTTTGGTTCATTCACTCACATCAGGATAGACTCCTACTCATTTTGATAATTGTGGTAGGATCTTCAAGTAGTTTGACAAGCTACCATATTTTTCCCAGGAAATGGAGATGATGTTGTGAAGCTGTATGACCTGACCACGCTGTGCTCTGAGAACATGGAGGATAAAACCTCCAACCCCTTCTCTGTGCCTGTAGCCATGCTGTTGTACAGGTCAGAAGTCTGATATCGCTACTGCAGTTTTTATCTGGATTTAAACAAGTACAAGTAGTGGTCAAGTCAAAGTTAAGTAAACAAACACGGAACAGAAATTGTAGGCAAAGCATTCTTTCTGAAAACTTTGACGCCAGTTTGGGCCACACGTAAAATATCTTACTGCCAATTTATTTATCTTCTCGAGAACTTAATTTTGCGACATAAGGGGAAAAGAAAGTTTTTGCAGTGTTTGAAGTAGGCACTATCTACTAAGACATCCTTCCATTGCAGAGTTGCCCGTAACATGCTGATGGACAGTAACTGTCACAAGGAGGACTTCCCCACTGTCAGGAAACTGTTGAAACAGTGTATCGAGCTGTTGGATGAAGACAAACATCCAGAGGTGGGCACAGGACAGACTTCTACTTCAGCCTATAAAACCAGATGTGAACAGCTACATTTTGTAGTCAAAACACATGAAGTTTTGTGGCTTTTTTTCAAAGTAGGAGAGAAAGGGAAGTTTTCTCATTGGCTTAAATTCACAGTTGAAACAATGCAGTAGTTGTAGTGAATGAAAATGTCATGAATGAAAATACATTGTAATTGAAAGTAGTTAAGCAACCATCCTTAAGTGTCCTCCTGTGTTCTCTCTTGTGGATTTCGTTTGGAATTTTGACTGGTATAGATGGTGAGAAACTGTAAATTATTGTCAGAATTCCCTTTAGTGCAAGTCTTAGAGTTTCTAAAACTAAAAAGAATCAAATGTGGCAAGTTATGCTGACATATTTTTTTGTCATCAGATCGTGACATCAGCCAACTACCTGTTGTCGGACCTCTTTGTCCCTGACGACCCCACTGAGGATCCCTGTGTTCCTGCCTCCTCAGACACGGCAGACCAGGAATTCTGGGATAGCAGTTGCTACGATGACAACGATGATGATGATGTGTCTCAGGACGGGGATAACCTGGCAGTCGCTGTCATCAAGTCAGTGGAGGACTTGTATGAGCGGGAGAAGTACAGGTCATCTGGGAATAGGGTAAGTAGGGAGTGTTACAAAATTAGCCTGGTTACCAAACCTATTATAGCTCCCGAGTCCTACATCCTCTCCGCAAATAGCGGAGAGGATG